AACCCCTAAACCCCTAAACCGTCATCGCCCGGGTCTAAGTCGAAGTTTACAGGACTTACGGCATGCTGGTACAGGGCGTAAGGGCTGCATAGGCTTCACACTTTAAGGTTCTTGGTACCTATACGGTAACAACCCAGTATAAGTCCCCTATAAGTATGTTACCTAGGTCATACCTAGAGAACACTTACAAATAGGTTATATGGGTACTTCGAAGCGCCAGGTAGGGCTTGCAGTGTTTACAGCGTCTAGGGTAGCGAGCAGGTATGTTTTTGGGGATGGAGGGTATTGGGGCTGCGGACTGTTAAGATGTTTTGGGTGTTTAGCATGCCAAAACCTAAGACCTAAACCCACTAAACCCTAAACCCCAAATCCCTAAACACCCTATTCCCCCAAAGCCCTAAACACCCTAAACTCCTGATAATAGACTGACTTTTAGGATGGGTGTTCTGGGTAGACTTAGGATAAGGGGCCTTAATAATTAGAATAGGGTTTTGGGGGGTTCATTACTATGATTATATTATAGTATAATATACCCTCCAAACGGGTTTTGCGGGTTCATTATTATGGTAATATTGTAGTATAATATACCCTCCAAACCCTATTCTAGTTATTAAGGCCCTTACACCCTAAATCCTTGTAGTACCCTTTATAGAACCCCTTAAAGGAGCCCTATGAAGCCCTATTCTGATAAGGGGCTTGGGATTCCAGGGCCTGTATTCCTTGGAACTTGAGGCTGAGGGGAGTTGAAGATCTCTGGTTCAGGTCTTAGGGTTTAGGGTTTCCGGGTTTAGGGTTTCCGGGTTTAGGGTTTCGTGTTTAGGGGTTTAGGGTTCAGGGTTTAGGGGTTCAGGGTTTAGGGTTAGGGTTCAGGGTTTAGGGGTTCAGGTTTAGGTACAAAGTTTAGGGGGTCAGGGTTTAGGGTTTAGGGTGTTGGGGTTTAGGGTTTATCCTTACAAGGCTCCGTATTGAAGTTCTAGCATAAGAACTTAAGGCCTACCCCTGCGAGTCCAAGTACTCCGTAATGAGAGCCTCTCCCACGTGCTAACCTACCGAACTACGATCCCCTGAACCTAAATCTAGGACATTTTCAGGTGGGTAGTTACCTTTATAGGAGCCTTACTTAAAGGTTCATGGGACTGAACTGTACTTATTAAGTCCCATGAGCCTCGAAGTATAGAAGGTCTATATACCTTGTAGAAGCTTTATAGAAGCCCTATATACCCTAAGCTCCCCACCTGCAGTACCCTAAACCCTAAAACTTAAAACCCTGAAACCCTAAGGCCCTAAACCCTAAACCCCTAAACTCCCCACCTGTAGTTTCCTTTAACTAAAACTCTCAGCAACCCTAAGCCAGAAGTCCTACAGTCAAAATCCGAAATCCCTACACCTACCGGGTGAGTGGGCCCCTTTGGATCTTGGGTCTCAATGAATATGAACCCAAAACCCTCCAAGGTTTCTGGCTTAGGCCTTCGAGATGAAGAGGGTTTAGGGTTTAGGGTTTGGGGTTTAGGGTTTAGGGTTTAGGGATTAGGGTTTAGGGTTTAGGGTTTAGGGTGATTAGGGCTTAGGGAGAAGCTAGCGATTGGAGTTTAGGGATAGGAGATTAGGCTTTAGGGCTGTAATCCAGAAGTAAACAGCCCTGTCCGAACCACCCATGCATCCCTATGTAAGTAGTAGTAGTAGTAGTAGTAGTAGTAGTAGTAGTAGTCGTAGTAGTGGTAGTAGTAGTAGTAGTAATGGTAGTAGTGGTAGTAGTGGTAGTAGTGGTAGTGTTAGTAGTCGCCGTAGTAGTAGTCTTAGTAGTAGTCGTAGTAGTAGTCGTAGTAGTAGTCGTAGTAGTAGTCGTAGTAGTAGTAGTAGTAGTAGCAGCAGCAGCAGGAGTAGTAGTAGTAGTAGTAGTAGTAGTAGTAGGCAACCGTCTTGAGGGACTTCCTATCCCTATACATGCCAAGGTTCACCTGGAATTCCCCAATATACTGGACATCTAGGCGATATAATCCCAAAACTCTTAACCCCGAATTTGAAACCCTAAACCCGCACCTGAACATCCCTGAATACGTAGGATCTTTGTTGTGCAGAGTACGGGACGCTGAATCAGATGCTACTAATAAACAGAATCCTAAAAATATACCACTGGCGTTCCTTAGGGTTCCTTGTTACAGTTAAGGCATCACTTAATGAGCCCTATAATACGTCCGAAAATTCAGTGTCTCTCAGACTGAAGGCTGCGATCTCTGTAAAGACGGCTTCGATCTTGCAGATGACAAGCGACTCGTTTTGTATGGGCCTTTGTTCAATAATCAGACCAGTATTCAGTTTTGGGGTTCTATAAAGCCTTAATACCTAGAACAGGGTTCTGGACCCATTCTACTACCGTTCGAGAGGGGACTATTGGGGGATATTCAGTATTGTGAATTTCTCCCAATGCCTATATTTCGAGACGCCTAAAGCCTGAAGCATCTTTATGGGCCTGAGCTCTATACTGAACCGATGGGTTTAGGGCTTAGGCTTGCAGTCCTCTAACATAGGAATTACCCTAAACCCTAAACCGAGCTGACGTACAAAAGCAAAATGCGCTGGTTCGGCCTCTGGCCTGGCAAACCAGCGAAGTCACTGACTTGCCTGAAAACCCACATGAGCCCCACGAAATATCGCTTCATTCATCGACATAACCGTATAAGCCCACAGTACCTGCGTGTTTAGGTGTCCACATTCTTGAGTTTTTTTTCTGACTCTCCCGCCTGCACAAGACAGAAGTCTTGGCCGCTTGTTCATTTTCATGAGTTTGGGAAATCCCTGTTTGGTGACACAAATCCTGTCTCTGCAGACAGCACGCAGCACCATTACTGCTTAGACTTCGTGGACAGTAGCAAAAATCCCACGTCTTCAAATGGTCGGAAGCACGGTGATATGGGGGCCTAAAGAACTGCATATACCTACTTTGGGGGGTTCCTTATAAGTATAGTATACTGGGCCCCAAAACCCTGTTCGANNTCGAGTTATTGAGGCCCCTATATTAGGCAGTAAAGCTCGATGGAGAGAAGAGGCACTGTCAACAGTGTAGACACCTGGTACTTCCAAGTGTGGATTCTGCAACCCACCAAAACAAGGCGAACGGGTGCCCTTATCCAGCCACTGGGTTCGCTGAAGAAGCTTTCGGGCGAAACGTGCGTGTTCAGCCGGGATATATTGGACGCGAGCGCGGTAAATGCGATTAGTGGCTGTGAGCGAAGCAGGCCTGACGAGGTGCGAGATTATCGAAATCTCAGTTGTTTTAACTAGAGTAGTGACTAGGGTGATGAGGCATAACATAGCATTATTCTATCGGGACTACCCTCACCAGTGGATACTAAAACGAATTACTCTGAGCTCTACAGTACAAGCCTGGCCCCAGCAAATTCGATACTTGAAGGGCCTGCAACACAGGAGGCTATGGTAGTCCAAGGTGTGGTCTTGACAGTATTCTAGGAACCGATTCGAGATGATGGATACTTTCCTTTGGATGCTGTGGAAATCGACACCTAGTATTGGACCTGAGAGAAAACTTTTGAATGGCAGGAGGAAGAACTTTAACTAGCTGGCCCTAACCTGGCATACCCTTCAACCCACTTCCCAACGCTAGAAGCCATACAAGCCTCCAGCAATCTTAAAGGTCTTAGTCATAAAACCTGGCAGCCCTATTTAACCTACTTAAATGGTAATGAATCTCCTATAAAGCCTAAATCAGGGCAAAAGGAATGTGGTCACTATATATATATATATATATAT